GGTGTCCATTTATTATTCTTCTGCTCTGCACATTTGTTTGATTTTGCATTAACCAGAGAAACACTGTGGCACACCCATAGACTGTGCTGAAACCAGAATGAATCCCAGAGGCACATGTTCAGCAGCCAGGCCCAACTTTCCTAATAAGACTCTTATTCCACAAGAATTAATATCAAGAATTAATAAATGATGGATTCAAACTAAAAAGCTTCTCAGCAAAAGAAAAAAACAGTGAGATGAATAGAGAGCCTACTAATTGAGAATAAATGTTTTACCACATGCATGTCAAATCGAGCACTAATCTCTAGAATATATTAAGAACTCAAAATATCTTAACTCGAACAAAACAAATAACCCAATCAATAAGTGGGCCAAGGAACTGAACAGATACTTCTCAGAAGAAGATATACAATCAATCAACAAATATATGAAAAAAATGTTCATCATTGCTAGCAATTAGAGAAATGCAAATCAAAACTACTCTTAAGATTTCTTCTCACTCCAGTCAAAATGGCAGCTATGAAGAATACAAACAACAATAAGTGTTGGTGAGGATGTGAGGGTAAAGGCACACTCATACATTGCTGGATTGCTGGTGGGACTGCAAATTGGTGCAGCCAATATGGCAAGCAGTATGGAGAATCCTTGGAAAACTGGGAATGGAGCCACCATTTGATACAGCTATCCCACTCCTTGGTCTATATCCAAAGGACTTTAAATCAGCATACTACAGGGACACAGCCACATCAATGTTAATAGCAGCACAATTCATAATAGCTAAACTGTGAAACTAACCTAGATGCCCTTCAGTAGATGAATGGATAAAGAAAATGTGGTGTATATATACACAATGGAATATTATTCAGCATTAAAAGAGAATAAAATCATGGTAAATGTATGGAGCTGGAGAATATAATGCTAAGTGAAATTAGCCAATCCCAATAAAAACAAAAGCCAAATGATTTCCCTGATTTAAGGATGCTGATTCATAATACGCTGCAGGGAAGGGGAGATGGGAGGATTAAATGAATTCTGGTAGGACAAAGTGGAAAAGGGGAGGGAGGGGCAGGAAGAGTGTGGAGGGGCAGGAAAGACAGTGGAATGAGATGGACATCATTACCCTAAGTACATCAATGAAAACACGAATGGTGTGACTCTACTTTAGGTACAACCAGAGATATGAAAAATTGTGCTCTATATGTGTAATATGGATTGTATGCATTCTGTTGTCATATATAACAAATTAAAATTTTAAAAATAAAGTATAATGATTTAGGTAGTAAGTTTATATTTCAACTTCAAAATTTAGAAACTCTTAGGTATATAACCAATGTAATTTTTTAAAATAGGCATTGTTTGTACGTGGGACACCAGCAATAATGAATATATAAAAGAAAATTCAATTGAAACTATAATTACACAGACAAATATGTAACAATAAATTTAGAGAAATTCAATTGAAGATACAGGTAAGAGACTTCAAATAATTGAAGAACATAAAAGGTCCTTTATGAACTGAGAAAGTAGCTTTCTCCTAAATTTTAAAAAAAACTAATAAGTTGATATTGCATATGTTAATATATTTATTAAAGTTATTCCATGTTTTGGTTTTCAACAAGTTTTTGTTTTATTTGTTTTTTCACTTGTTTTAATACAGGCTTATTGAACACAAAGAAAATGAGATAAAATAATATTTATATTGAAAAATAAATGTCGAAGAATTTCTTAAAAGACTACTACTAAGGAGTGATTTGCCCTAAAAAGCAGTAAAATTTACTATAAAACTACTTCCTGAGATTGTTATAGAATAAAATAAAAAGAGCAGTAGAATCAAATAAAGCACGTGGAAACAGATCCTCCACGTGACCTTGGAAGAGTAGCTACCGTCATTCACTCTGTGGAAAGATGAGGATGAGGAGGGAACCCTTCAGTATGGAAACTGAGCACTTAACACTAGAAGGGTCAAGACAATGTAACAAACTCTGAGTGCAAAGGATGTCACATAGTAGACACCTCTAGAGAGTAACTGTATTACTTAGAGCAAATGAAGTTGAATCAAACAAATGTATGAAATAGTATAAAACAAAATGACAACTTTTAAAGGAAACCTAAAGAGAAATTCTGATACCTTCCCAATTTAAAACAATGCCTAATACATACATAATAGTAATTCAATAAATATTTATTGGATAAGCTGAACCAAAAATTCATAGAAGTATTTATTGATTTTACAGTTATTTTTTCTGAACTACCTTAGCCAATTCTTTGAGCTAAATTTTATATCCAAATGACAAATTTTTTATTGTGCTTATTCTTCCTTTTTAATCTTCTGTCGAAAATGCTGTGTCTAACTTTACTACAAAGATTCAGGACTATGGCTGGCTTTGATTAGTGAGAACTCTGATGTGGTCTATGAACCTAGAGAGGGTTTCCTCAGAGTGAGTGTTTTCCCTCCAACCCCAGACATGAGCTGCCACAGCCCTGCCATTCCCTGCCTTGGTCCCTCCAGCAGGTGGCTGTCTCCGGCAGACCTGAGTTTTTGTGCACCTCCCTCCAACAGTCCTCCCACTGTGCCCTCTCTCAGTGCACAGAAATACACCGCTGAGTCCCCCAGCTGTGAGGCTGAGATGACAAGCTGGATGGATTTGCTTGCCTTCTGCAAATTCACTGAGTAGCGACCTTCTGTGGCATTTTGCTGGCTGTAAGAGTTCTGAAGGATGAGGAAGACCATCTCCCCACTGCTGGGCTGCTTGTA